GTCAGAGGATGTGCCTGTGCATCAATCGGGCCTTAATGTGATCCGGAGTCATGTCTCCTCCAACCTGCCCAGAGATTCACAGCTGGATCTACGGCAGAGCGACGGATCTGAGCCTCCGGTCCGGTTCTGCTGCCTCTGGCCACAGTTTTTTCCAGCTGGCATTCAAAGTTTCAGTTTCCAATCTGTATTAAATACCGTAACTTTGCCACTCTGGTAGAGAAGTGCAGAGACTGTTTTTACCAATCATACGGTCAATCAGGACGCAGAACACTGTGGAAAAAAACTGCACAAAAAAATCTGCGAAGCAGCGAAACCGTGAAAGGTGAACCGTGTTACAGCGAGGGATCACTGTTTAAGAAATTTATGAAAAGCAACTGAGTAATTTGTAGAATGGCTGTAGCCTATATCTGAGTTTATCTAGGTGTATCTGGGACTTCATTCTCATGCCTGGTCTCATAATGCCTCAACATTGAGGAGGTGGATTTATTTAAATAAGACAGTTTAGTCAAACATACGACACTTAACCTGCAGAACATAATATGAAAGTAAACAGAGTAAATTTCAGCTGAATTTGGATTCAGATAGATCAAGTAGAAACTGACAAGAACCGGATGAAACAACAAAATGAAAACAAATTTATTTTCCAATATAAGATCAAAATGTTCCCACACTAAGGAAACCTTTTATTTGAGCCTGCTCCATAGTTGATACTGTAAAAGATCAATAATTCGTTTGACAAATGCTTTTGACAGATTCTCTCCCTTATAAACACAGTTTGGCGCTTTAATGTCATTTCGAAACAGTTCCTGTATCGGTCACGTGACTTGCTGAAACCAATACGCGCACCGAAACGGGTTTTGGTCTTTGGGCTTGATGCATGGGCTGACGCATCGGTGTTGCCGGACCCATCACTAACAGCTAGTTATTCTGCATCCATCAGCTGTTCTGTGGCGTTCTGTTCAGAATATAGTGAACCGGACCGGAACCGGACCAGCGAGTCCCTTGGGTCAGAACATGGAGGCGTCGACTTATTTTGGGGGGACAAAATGAATCTACGTAGCTGAACACAGACAACCTCAGTAGCCTACAGGCTGCTAGTTAACAAGCTTACGGTGCTGTATTGGTGTTAGCTAGTCGTCTTTTAGCTAACATTATCTAGTCACCTTTTACCCAACATTGGCTAGTCGCCTTTTAGCTAACATTGGCTAGTCGCCTTTTAGCTAACATTGGCTAGTCGCCTTTTAGCTAACATTGGCTAGTCGCCTTTTAGCTAACATTGGCTAGTCGCCTTTTAGCTAACATTACCTGCATCCAGCAGCTTTACTCAACTCAGTCGGTTAGTTTGGGGGAAAAACTGTGCAAAGTTCTTTGCGTTTTGCTGCCATGATACTAACACACCTGAGCAGCTCCACCCAGCAGCAGCAGGTCTCCTTCGCTGCCGCACAGGTCTAAACCCAGCTAGCGTCTTAGCGTTCATGATGCGTTTAAAGGCGGCTCGGAAAAACAGGTTACGACATGTTAACAATGGATTAAACAGTTTCAATGGCTGAAAAAAGTGACAGAAGGCACAGATATGGGAATTGCGGAAGCCCCTACTGTATCAAACCGATATAGGAATAACAGAGAGTTGGTCATTCTGAGGTAAAAACAACAAACAGTTTCCAGTCCAGGGGGGCACGGCTGACTCTGTGGGCGGACAATGCCCCCCAATGCCCACCCATGCTGCCGGGCCTGTATCGTGTCTCATCGTGTCTCTTTGTGTCTCCTTTGGCCGATTATTTTGCTCCTCTCTTCTGTCTTCATGTTTTCGGCTCTTCTTGTCCAAATTGTTCCTCTGATTTTCCAGAAAGGAAACCCAAACCACCTTCTGTTTTTCCTCTAAACACAATCTTGGACTCCATGTTTTGGGAAAACAACAACCTGACGCTTTCTAGTCAGGAGGTAACTTTCATGTTTCCTAAACAGATCCAACAGAATCAGAACCTGCTGGGGTCTGGTTCCCTCCTCCAGAATGGTTCCCAGAATGGTTCCCTCCTCCAGAATGGTTCCCAGTTTGGTCCTATGATCATGGCTGCGGCGATCTGGAATAGAAATAGATAAAATAATACTCTGAGGATTTATAGAAATAAAGGAAGAGATTATTTAAAGATCAAACATTAAATCAATAATCTAAGAGTTGGAAACGATCAGTATTAATAAAACAAAAATAATAGATATGACAGTAATTAATGAGGTGATAATAGTGAATCTTTTAATCTGTTTTCATGTTTATTTTTAATCATAATTCAAAGTAAAACATTAAATTAATATGAGTCATTTATTATAAACATTAAAATATGATTTTCTCATCTGAGACCCAGAATATTAAATCTGGTTCTGGTTCTGGTGGACCTGATATTCTGCTCTCAGACGGAGAATCTCAGAACCGGTTCTGACCCAAACGGTCTTGATCTGGTTTAGCTGGAGTTCTGGTTCTGACCCAACAGAACCTCTTGGTTTGTCAGGAATCCATTGAAGCTGACCTGTGTGCAGGGATCCAAGTGACGCCAGACGTGGGCGTGTTCTCGGTGTGACGTCACGGCAGTCAGCCTCCTCCGCTTTAAAGCCGCAACCGCCGCACAGTCCGGCAGACAGACCGAGCCGCCGAACCTTGGACCGGGACCGCGCTCAGTGCCCGCCTCAGTGCCGCCTCAGTCCGGATGGAGCTGCGGGGTTCGCGCCGCTCCTGACCCGGCTCGGTTTGACCTAACGGAACCATAAGTTCGGTTCGGCCGTCCTCCCCGTCCCGCAGCAGGCCGTCGTCTCCTCCGTGACTCGCAGGTCCCATGCGATTCTTCAGACTCACATTCAAGTGCTTCGTGGATTGTTTTTGAAGGTCGCGGTTCGGCTGCGGTTCGGTTCGTTTTTCTCTTCAGTTCAACATTTTTATTTTTATTTGACAGAAAGAAAAATCTAAATTATTTGTAAAACATTTCGAATTTTTGACCATTTTTAAATTTAAGTAAATAAACTGAAGTCCTAAATTAAAAGAGAGGAGAGGGTCCGGAGCAGACCGAACTGGACCGGCTCTGGTTCTGACTGGTTGGTGGGACTCTGACCTGGAGCTGGACTGGGATTACTGGGGTGTTACTGGTTCTGACCCGGCATCAGAGGGAAACTGATCGATTCGGTCTCGGTTCTAAAGCTAAAGAGCTGCAGAGTGAAAAAAAGACAACCGGACTGGTTCTGACCGGGTTCTGATTGGGTCTGATTGGGTTTTGCTGCTGGTTCTGATTGGGTTCTGAGTGGTTCTGATTGGGTTCTGAGTGGTTCTGATTGGGTTCTGATTGGGTTCTGAGTGGTTCTGATTGGGTTCTGATTGGATTCTGAGTGGTTGTGATTGGGTCTGATCGGGTTTTGCAGCTGGTGCTGAGTGGTTCTGATCGGGTTCTGACTGATATTCTGTTACAGAATCTAAGTGGTTGAGGTTCTGACAGACTGGACCTTAGAACCTGTACTGGTTCCTGACTGGTTAGTTAAGTTCTGACCGAGTTCTGTCTAAGATGGAGAAACCGGCCCGGCCCGCCTCGTCCTGCTCTGTGGTTCTGGTGGAGGAGACCAAGAGGAACCCGCTCCTCCTGTCCAGCGGCTTCGCCACCGCCAACGGGTCCCTCGCCGGCGGAGGCGTGGCCGGCGGTACCGGTCAGGATAAAAGAGGGGGCGGGGCCATCGGGACGGGTCCGGGGTACCAGGAGCGTGAGACTTGGACCCGGCAGATGGACTTCATCATGTCCTGCGTGGGATTCGCTGTCGGACTCGGAAACGTGTGGCGGTTCCCCTACCTGTGCTACAAGAACGGAGGAGGTGAGGCTCAGCACGCAGGGGGCGGGGCTAAAGCTGCAGACCCCGCCCCCTCTGTAGGTCACACACACCATTGCTCAAAGAAACCAGAATGTTTCTGACTGGACCGGGTCAGCCATCCAGGTGCTGGTCCAACAGAACCTGCAGCATGAAAACAAAATCAGGTTTTGTTCCCAACTGAGACTCTGGCCGGGCAGAGAGGCAGCGGCCTGATTACGGGCGGGGCTTATAACTGGGCGGGGCTTATAACTGGGCGGGGCTTCGATGTTCTGATCATGTTAGACGGCGCTGGGCGGTATCGATCTGAGTGACAGCAGCAGGTTCAGGCTGTATTTACACACAAGCATGGTGTGTGTGTGTGTGTGTGTGTGTGTGTGTGTGTGTGTGTGTGTGTGTGTGTGTGTGAAATAATAGCCCTGATTGTCTCTATGACCCCTCTGATGAAGTTGGTTCCCAGCAGGTCATGTGACCTCGCCTCGGTCCTTCCTGTCTCCTTCAGACATTAATAATTAAATCATCATCAGATTAATCAATAATTCTCCAGAAGGAAGTCACCTGGGATACTTTCTACCAACGTAAATGAAAACAAATATTTTAAAACCTAGAAAATTATTTGCGGCTCCATTTGGTCCAAAATTCATTGAATCCACAAAAACTTTTATTTGTCCACTTTGTGTTTCTATGATGCTTTTATGACGTAAAGCACTTAGACCTGCCTTGTTCATTGATTGATTGATTGATTGATTGATTGATTGATTGATTGAAATGTAAACTCTGCAGCTATAACTGAAAACATAAAGTTTGGCTAAATTATGAAACAAGAAGGTCACCTGACTGGCTGGATCTGGCACATCAGTGGCCACCAGGGGGCGGCAGTTATCAGGCAGCTCCCAAAGCATCTGACAGAATCACTAGACAATCGATCAATCAGTCAATTGATCAATCAATCCAGGAGAAATTGAAAAATTCATATTGAGAAACTGAAATATGATGATGAAACAAATCTGTTGATGATGATGATGATGGTGGTGGTGGTGATGATGAAGGCGAGACCTGGAAGTCATGAGACCGACTGATGTCAGTCTGCATAGATCTATGTGTCTAAACATAGATCTATGTTTCTATCTATAGATTATCTCTATGGAGACACATAACTGCTGATGCGGGTCTCTGGAGCGCCGTCGCCCCCTGCTGCTGCTCAGCCAGAATGCGGCTTGAAGGCGCCGGCCTCGTTTTTCAGACCTGAGGCTGCAGCATCCATCTTTTTACATAATGTGGACAGAACCGGGTCAGAACCAGTTCAGGACCATGTTTCTGTCGTCAGGAGCTGCAGGCCTCCTGCTGATTGGCTCCTTGGTGAGGAGGAGGAGGAGGAGGAGGAGGAGTCTTCATCACGTCTCCTCCTGTGAAAAGGTCCTGTTCTCAGCACCGGCCTGTAGGACCCGGACAGTGAAAAGGTCCGGTTCTCACAGTGCAGTCAGACTTCCTGTAAAGGTCAAATGACTGTCGCCTGATTGGCCGAAGCTGAAGGTGTTTGCTAGCCGGATCGTCTGTCTCTGGTCCAAACTGAAATGTCTCACAGCGTCCAAATAAATGTCCTGGTCAGAACCGATGGTCCCCTCATCACACATCCTGGTCCTGTCCTCTTCCTCCTCTTCCTCTTCTTCCTACAGTTCAGTTTTTATCGTCCCACATCATCCATCAGATAGTTTGTCCTTTTTGTATTTGTCCTCTAATAAATCTGAGCCACTTTGATTTATTTTCTTGCAGTGTGTGTGTGTGTGTGCTACAGTCACCCTGTGAAGGACACACACACACACACACAGTGACGGCTGGTGATGAAGAGGAGAACCCGACCTTCAGATTGATGTGTTTGTAGCAAAGCTGCTATCTTTGTGAGGACCAGTCAGCTGAAGACCTGGAGATCAAACGAACAGTAGAGGATGTCCAAGTCCACAAGTCCACTGTCCTGTATGTGTGAAGGCTGCTGCAGCCAAAGATGACCTCTGAACTGTCTCCAGTGGAGACGGTGGGGGACGGTGAAGGCGGGATGAGGGCGGAGGAGAGGTGAAGCCTGTCAACAGGATTAAAAGATTACAGGCCACTCCTGTTAATCTCTGCTCCACATGCTGACTCCCTCAGAAAACGAACCGCTCGTTGTCCCGACCAAAGGTCCGTTACCATGGTGACCTGGTAACAGTCCCACCGACTCCCATCAGACCCGCTCCCCCATGCTCGGGCGATGAGGCCCCATTCTTTTACCACCTTGAACTCGGTGTCGCTCTGTAAACCTCTGGACTAGAAACACTCTCCACATGGAACCGTTTAGGATGCGACACCGAGGCCAAGAGGTTGACTTGGCGCCATCTTGTGGATGAAATGGAGTCAAATTTTGAATAATATCTGACAGAAGAGATTAGAAATTATAGAAATGTATTTGATACATCAATCGGAATATATGAAAATATTTGGGAGGAAATCGCTCAGGACTGGGGTTACTGAGGACTGAGCCGAGTGGAATTATGGGAAATGAAGGAATCTGTCATGTGAGATGTAGGAAATCAGACACGCGACTATGACATGTTAGCTATCTGCTCAGTACGCCTGAGTCTCTCTGCCTGTATGCCAGACTCGCTGTAATCCTAAAAACCTCAGAAAGTTTGATTGGTCCTTTTCTAATGGAAATCTGGAATACTGGCGTTCCAAATGATCAAACCTGGAAAACTCTGAAATGGTTTCTGGAAACCACAACTGTTGATGACTGGAGTCATTAAACCCAGTTAGAGCTCAGACTGGTGGTTTATCCAGTTCTGATTATGATCTAGAAACAGCAGAAATTGTTTGGTTCTCACCGAGCGGGTTTGAAGTTGTCAGAGCAATGGCTCCATGCCAACTGGGGAGAAAGAGTAAGAACTCCTGACCTCAAGGAGATGACGCAACAGAAACATGTTGCTCGGTTCTAACAAGCCGGTCCAGAACAAGCTTGTTAGAACCTGTGGCATGAACCAGATGGTTCAGACAATCTGCAGAGAAACTTTCAGAATAAAACCTGCAGAGCAGAAGCTTCCATTGGCCGTGTCTCTGAAAGGGGAAGGTTACAGTTTAGTCCTGGGATATCTGTGAATGAACCACTCCGATCAGTGTACGGTGCAGTTGTACATGTGACTCATGGATGGGTGGACTTTTATTTATAGCTTCTGATGTAAGGAGACACTCTGACTGATCCTGGGTCAGTTGGCAGCAGAACAGAGCGAGGAGAGCTAACGACAGCGCCGCTCTGACTCCATGTTCCTACTTTCACTAGTCATTTGACCATATCCAATATATGTAGGTATTTAGTATGTAAATAACGTACGGAAGTTTTAATAGGACATGGCATGCTTGGTTTGTGTTGAATATGCATCAACAGACACCGGGGCTGTATGTTGATGGAGTAAAGGTTTGAGGGGAATTTATTTCAGTGAACCATGAAGAGTTAAATGTAACTGCAGACATCAAGACTGCTAAGAGACACAATTTGATGCATTATCAGTTTTCCATAATTTTTTCATCAACTATTGAAGAGAGAAGTTCCACCGCACACCTCACTACCGTCTCAATGTCCATTACCATCACCATCCTCACGTCTCTACTAGTGTCTACAGTTTCTACCCAATTATACAGCGGCCAACATTTACACTCATCAGAACCAGAACCGGGTTATCTGCTCTGATTATAACCAAAACAAAACATTGACTCAGATTGGAAAACATGTAGCAGAAACAATTATTTCAACTCTATATGGTAATAAATCTGCACTCTGGTATGAAGGTCTTAGAAGTTTCAGAAAATTAATTTTTAAAGGTGGCTGGCAATGCTGCCAGAAGCAGCTTCATTAGCCAAGATTGAGCCACTAACAAAGACTGAAGGCTCACAGCATTCAGACATTAATTATAAATATATAAGAGGCCAGTTATGTTTAGAAATGGGATTATTCTGTTCTGTCGGCCCAATGGGAATGACTCACACTGGGCATCTTGTCAGGATTGTTGATCCACAGAGGAAGCTCACTGTGGAGCATTGCTTGGAGCCCCCAGGCCAGCAGGGGGCACTTGGTAGTTCTATGAGAAGCAGAAGAAGTGTCTTCTGCCTCTGAAGGCCTCCGAATAACCGTAAACCTATAAGAATTAAAATCACTTATTTAGGACTAGAGACCGCCCCAAAAGCAGGAAGTGAACTATAGCACAGCACAGGGCATTCTGGGTAAATACAGCCAAAGCTAACATGTTAGCCTAGCACTAGCAGCAGAAATGGCTCCTGGTCTTTACCCAAAGACTAAAGAGAAATCCTCCAACCGCTAAAATCTGACGCCTCCATCTTGTTTCCATCTGGTGAAGAAGGAAGTTGCTCTCAGTGTCTTCAGAGGTTTTCTTGTCGTTTCCTTCAGTGGTTCTTGGTGCAGCGCCCCCACAGGCCAGGAGGGGAACAGGTTGGTTTGACTCAGAGAACCACAGCAGCTGGAGGTGGAGGAGATGAAGTTCTGGTTCCAGTTGAACCGGGTCGACCGGACTGAAGGAGGGAACAGCCTGAGTCTTCAGCTGTTCATGGGGGGAAACATGACTGAAACATTTTGGCGTCCATGTTGCTGAGGAGGTGGAGCTCCGTGTCTGGATGTCCAGGTTCTGTGAGGAGGAACCAGAACCTCTGATGATGAGGATGATGTTGGTGGTGATGAAGCTCAGCCTGTCAGTATTTAGCCCACTGACTGATCCAGATTAGGCAGTTTAGCTCTCTAACTGCAGCCGCGGTTCTGCTTCTGGTTTGAGATGTGACTCCAACACGTGGCGGTCATGTTAGGTGAAGCTTCACCAGAACCCTTAATGGATCCTTTTATTTTACCAGTACCGGGTTGGCCTTTAACCCTCAGGAATAACCACAAGTGATGACTTCCATCAGACTTGATTTATTGTCATTGTACAAATCAAATCAAATTTTGTTTGTATAGCACATTTCAGCAGCAAGGCTTTACATCACTGAACGCAAAAACAGAGTCATGCAACATTTAATCAACAATAAAAAACATTGAATTGGTATGAAGTTATATCACCGAGCAGTAATAAAACTCCCTTTCACACACAATGCTTTAAACAGTTTTTATCAAGAATTTAACCGCCTGTTTTATTCCGCCGTCCTTTTAACACGAGATTCAGGTAATTAGTAAACTGTACGATGAAATTAGTAGTACAGCTGTTCTTATGGCATTTATAAACAGTCAAAACATATAAGATTGGTGTAATCTGGGGAAAATGTCTCTGGTAGGCAGGACGATGATGGCAATCTTAAAGGCTAGAATATTGGGAGCTGGAGATTTCAAGGAGCTACTCTTCATTCAGCCTGTTGATGGTGGATCCGAGGAGGAGAAGGTTTGGGAGGGGAGGTCCACGAGTTCCTCCAGAACTCCCCTCCTCGTTTCTATTAACGTCGTCAATGTACAAAACACCGACGATTCTCTCCGAGTCCGACCATAATCCACGTAGATCCTGGTGGTCCCGACGTCACCTCCGCTGGAAGTCACTCATCACATCAACATGACATCAATGTCCCATCTCCATAAAAGCTGCTCGGTAATCACGTTCAACTTGTCCAGGTGTTAAGAAAGTTGAAAACCATTGTGTCCTTGTGCGCCGCCATGGAAATTGACAAATGAATAATTAATGGTCAACTATATAGAAGAAAATAATTTAAAAATAACTGAGTAATAAATTCATATTAAGCTGTCAAAGTTCCAGCAAACTTTCAGAAAATCCACCCATCCATATGCACAACTTTTCCGGTGGTCAAGAGAGCTGAAAGCCGCTGCGTCCGTCTGCTGAAACAGTCCCACTGTCTGGTTCTGGTTCTGGTCCGGTTCTATTAAGGTACAGCCAGGTGTAGCAGTGAAGGAGGTCTGAGAGTTACGGAGGGGTTCTGGGGGTGGACGGGGTTCTGTTGGCGAACCAGTGGGATGAATTTGAGTTTTACTTGAAGTTGAAGGAGGGAAGGAATTCGGTTTGGCTGAGAGAGAGAGATGGGAAACCGAGTACTGAGATTCCTGGGTCAGAGCCCTGGGGAACTCCCGAGCTGACGGGACCACGAATGATTTCAACTGAACAAATGGGCCTGAATGGAACCGGTTGCCCTGCAGTTGGTGGGTTGCAGGTTCAATTCCCGCTCTGCCCGTCCTCATCGTTTCATTTCCTGCTGCTGTGGAACCCGTGATCCCGGTTGTTCTACCTTCAAAGGTTCTGCACAACGTGGACAGAACCAGAACCGGGCTGAAAATGAGTCCAAGAGCAGATGGTCCGGACCAGAATCTTTCGGCGTCAAATGGACCACAACATTTTCCAGATGAATCAAACCAGTTCTCTCTGCATTTACTCATTCATTTTGAGTAGGCAGCTCCTCAGTGTGGCTGGTGTTTCTGACTGTCCCTGAATGCATCGTGTGTGTCTCCCCAGGCGTCTTCTTGATCCCGTATCTGCTGATCGTTTTCGTGGGAGGAATCCCGATTTTCTTCCTGGAGATCGCCCTCGGTCAGTTCATGAAGGCCGGCAGCATCAACGTGTGGAACATCGCTCCACTGTTCAAAGGTGGGTCCGGCTTACCAGAACCTTGGGTCCGGCTTACCAGAACCTTGGGTCCGGCTTACCAGAACCTTGGCTGATTTGCTGCTCAACGTGTTTAAACTTGTTCACTTGTCTTGGACTTTGATTGACGCGTCGGTCCGTCTGGTTCTCTGGTTCAGATTCTGAATGCAGCATTTACGTACGCAGACGACACCCAGCCTTATGTCTGTGTCAGAACCAGTCCAGAACTTAATCTGTTGGCAGGATTGCAGAATATTCGTAGTTGTGTTTTATTATTAGCTATGATAATAAAACACATTAATCTTGTTAATTAAATCCTTTGAATGATTTTCGTGCCTCTGAACACATCCAGACTTTATTTACTTTCTGTCAGAAACCGAGTTCTGAATTCAGTGAAATTAAAAATAGCTGAATCTACAGAACACAGCTTTTTAATTAACTTTTTAAATCAGCATTTAAGTAGTTCAATTTAACACACAGTAAATTTGGTCCTCATGAGAATAATGTTAGTTTAACTCGTTTTGCATCCTTCTCACTCCGTTGCTGAAATAATTCTGAATTCTTTGAGGGAGAAAATGAAATTCCAAATGCAGATTCATACTGATAGTTCATATTCATGATTTCATCCACTTATTTACCTGCTGATGTTAGAAGAGTGCACAGATTAATAAATATTAACTATTCAGCTTGACTTACTGCATAAACCGAACATAGAACTAGTTTTCATAAAATGTGACAAACCTGAGAGAAATTTCTTCTGGGTTTAAAAAATGAGTAGCAAAAACTTAACAGAATAAAAACGTAAATTTCAGTTAGAGGAAAGTTTTTGTCCTTTTTCAACCTTTAACTGGGATAAAACTCCTGGAAAACAAAGATCGTTTTTCAAGAATGTTCAGATAATTATACACGGAAACAGTTGCAACACACAATATCAATAACGTCACAATCTGTCCCAGATTAAGTCCAGCTGAAAATCTGAGGACATGTTGGTTTGATAACCTGGAAGAATCGCTTCGTCGGCAGTTTGAAGGTTCATGAGCCGCGGATCCTTCACTCAGACCTTCAGCCCTCACAACCATAAATCCTCTCATGGCGCTGCTTCCTGTTATCAGCTCCACACATTGATAACAGTTTACTGCATCTGAGGGAGCTGACCGAGCAGCTCCTTGTGTGGAACGGAGCGAGGAAGCTACAGTGAAGAGGAAAACTCCTCGCTGTGCTCAGCTGTCTGTGTCCATGTCTGTCCATGTGGTGGACGGAGGGACATGTCCTGGTGTCCTGCGCCTGTCGCCCAATAACTGCTGCAACCCCCCAAAGATGGCCGCTGGATGGGAACAATGACTTTTGTTACATGAAATAAAAATGACCTAAAAGAGAAAACGCGTTCATACTACATAAACTAATGCATTTTTAATTCAAACTAAAAATATAAATATTTAATAAAAAAATTTTAACTTTTTTTCTCTTGAAAATATCCAAAACCTGGAATTTTAATTTATGTCTTTGTTTCCTAAAAAAATAATTAAAATAAATAAAGGCAGAAAGTTAAACACTAACAAAAGTCTAAAAATAATTGGAAAAAAATTAAAATAGTTTTTGGTAGATTCAAATTTTGATTTTGAGATTTTATTAATAAAACTGACAAGTTTTCAATGGAAATAATTAGTCAGTTTTCTTTCTTTTGTCCAGAAGGAAAAAACATAAACGAAAAGAAAAGAAGTAAATCTGGGAGAGGAGAATTTATTTCTTACTAAACAACTGAAGAAACATGAAAATCCACTGAAGCTTCCAGGAAGTGACATAAATGTTCATAACTCAGATGTTTAAGCTGAAGAGGAGCTGCCTGTTTATTACTGTAACCATGACAACAAGGTATTTACAAGTGTGCAAAGTTAATTTGTGAAGTTTTGTTTCCTTTGATGAGGTCAAACATTAAACTGGTCTCCAATAAAAAGTTGATAATGTTTACAGCAGAACCAGCTGCGGACTTCAGCCTCCATTGTTCGATCAATCATATCGAGAATAATCTGGAACAGATTCCAGTAACTCACCTCATGTTTTAAGATTAGAGAGCATGTCAGCGCAGGAATGTTTGAAATGTTTTCTGTTTGAAACTTATCTTCAGGTTTTGATCTTGTTTGTGTTCTGTGCAGGTCTGGGCTACGCCTCCATGGTCATCGTGTTTTTCTGCAACACTTACTACATCATGGTTCTGACCTGGGGCTTCTACTACCTGATCAAGTCCTTTAGCTCCGCCCTCCCCTGGTCCACCTGTGACAACGAATGGAACACGCCCAACTGCCTGGAGACCTTCCACCACCTGCACTGCAGCAACGCCAGCCTGGCCAACGTCACCGTGGGCGGAGCCAACCTGACATGCGCCGACCTGGCCGACGCCCGCTCGCCCATCATCGAGTTCTGGGAGTGAGTACCGGGTCGGGTCGGGTCGGGTCGGGGTCGTCTTTCTGACCCGTTCTGTGCCTGCGCAGGAACAAAGTGCTGAACATCTCGTCCGGACTGGACCAACCGGGTCGGATCAACTGGGAGCTGATGCTGTGTCTGATGGCCGTCTGGGTTCTGGTTTACTTCTGCGTCTGGAAAGGAGTCAAGTCCACCGGCAAGGTACCAGTCCGATTCAGGCCACTGGGACCAGACTGACTAGACTGGTCCCTGTGGACCAGTGTGTTATGGACCAGTGTGTTATGGACCAGTGGGACCAGTGTGTTATGGACCAGTGTGTTATGGACCAGTGGGACCAGTGTGTGGCCAGATGGGGTTCCCTGCAGGTGTTTATGATGTGATAAACATAAAACATTGAAATATTGAATGTGCTTCAGTTGAAAGACGTCTGCCAGCAGAGACCTGCTCCCTTTATCATCTTTAGTTTTTATTTTTATTAATATTCATTTGCAGGAAGTTTCCAGATTTTCTCTCCTGCTGGATTTTTGTCCAACATGTAAAACAGAAACATGTGAGTCTGAGTCAGGGGGGAAATGCCGCCCCGCCCCTTTAAATACTCAGCTGACACCTCTGATTCACCCTGGATGAATCAGTCACATGACCGGTTCAGAGTTGCTATGACGACCTTGGGGGGAGGCATTGAGGCCCTGTGAGGTGGCGGGACGCGATTCGCCGGCTGAGAGGAAGGCAGCTTGTCTGCAGTGGGACATGATTGAGAGGCTGCAAGTTGAGCTGTACTGCTGCGATGCTGCATCTGCAGCCATCAGATGCTGGGAAAATACCAAACACAGAAACATCCAGATGCTGAGGGAGACGAGCGCTGCCGGGTTCAGAACCGGCACCTGAAGAACTTCCAGAAAGTTCTGGTCCAGAAGCAGAAAGTGTTAGAAAGCAGAAGGTCAGATGGTGGATCCAGGCTCCACCTTCACCGCTTGGCTCTCCAGAAACATCGAGATCCGCTCTGAGAGATCCTACAGCAAACCTCAGCAACAGTTTTTTAAAACCATGATCTGGACATTAGTGCAGGATCACATGAGCCAGAGCATTAGCAACCTTCTGGCTTCACTCTGGATGGGCAGTTGATTGGTTTCCATCCAAATCCCACATCATGATGCTGTCTCCTCCATGTTTGTGAAGTAGTCTCTCGTTCTTAAAGTTACTCTTCTAAATAAACGGTTGTTGCATCCAAACACCTCAATGTTCAACTTGTCTGACATCAAACTTTTCTCCAGGAACGTTCTTGGACGTTTCTGCTACTTTGACATCAAAGGTGTTTTGCTAAATCTTGTTTCAAGGAGTTTATTAAATATTATTTTAATCAGCAAAAGATGAAGGTCTTTAGCTGGAGACCATGAAGCCCGATGGAGGGTTATTGGTTTCTTTATTGCCTTCTCCAACCCTTAGGTTCTGGTTTTCAGACGAATTTGTCACTTTTTATCGTCTGTCTTCATCTGACGATGTTTTGTCAGATCCACTTTACACACGGCGCTCACACGACTCTCAGTCCCAACACAAACAGCCGCTGGTGTTGTTCATCAGCAGGAGGCTGAAAGAAGAGCCCAGCAGAGGGACAGAGGGAATCTTCCAATCCCACTTCTCACTCCTCTAATGTCTAACCCCTAACCCTATACAAATTTTCCTCAAAATGCAAACATATTAACCAAAAAATAAACTAAATAAATAAATCAACCAAGTGAAAAGTAAAATTAAATCAGTGAAACAAGGGAGTGTATCACAGCAGGACTCAGTCCCTGGTGGGTCGGAGCAGTTCTATGGACTTGATGGTAAAACCAGTAAGAGAGACGACACTACTGGTCTGGATGGGTCAGAACCATCTTGGTTAGAGCGGCTTGCAGACTGGTGAAGGATACTGATGTTGAAGAGGAGCCAGCATCGACTCTCCATGGATGGCATCAAACTTTATGCCAAGAATGAGCGAGACCTCGACTATCTGGTCCGACGAGCAACACCACCAAAATGCCCCTCAGTCTGGGTCAGTGTGGCACAGGGCAGGAGATTGCTCCTCTCTATTCAAACCATTCACCACCACATGTTTGGGCATGAGGAAACTTCAACAACTCAAAAGATTATCCTCAGCTTAATATGTAAATTTTAACCAACTTAGACAAATCTGAACTTGTAAAGCGTAGTGCTACGCCAACCATCTGCCCAACCAACCATGGATGGATGGGTGGTTGGTTCATGAGTCAGTTCAGACTCATCAACGTTGCTTCATATTTCAGGAAAACGATATGCTCTGGAAAAACAAATCAGTGACTGAGCAACAAGTGATGACTCAGTTCAATGTGTCCTCTACCCACGCTTCCGATGTCGGACAGAAGTCAGGGGGGACAAAGTTGATTCTGTCTCTGCTGAACCATTTCAGTTTGTTACTGTGGAAAATCACTGAAGGACCAGATTGATTCTTTAGTTTGTGATGGTCGGTCGGTCGGTCGGTCGGTGGGTCGGATGGATGGATGGATGGATGGATGGATGGATGGATGGATGGATGGATGGATGGATGGATGGATGGATGGTTGGTTGGTTGGATGTTTGTTCTGAATCCTAAAGTTGAGTCCTTCCTAATAATAACACTGTAAAATGTTGTATGAACGTCTTTAACAAAAACATTTTTATGAATTGTTTTTATAGTAACGTTTGTAACGTCTGATGCAATATTTCTGGAAAGTTCTCAGGCATTTTACATGATCGGTTAAGCAGCAGAACTGGTCCAAACATTCTATTTTAGTCTCTTAAATGGTTGCTGGAGACTTCTTCCCAGCCAGCATGCCTAGGTGGGCCCCATGTGGGGAAAAGGAGGGCAGACTATATGGGTCCCATATGGGTTTGTCCGCGGGTTCCATGATGGCCCCACATGGGTTTGCCCATGGGCCAGAGCCCACATGGGCCCTGCATGGGCCCTATATGGTGGTGGCCCACATGGGTTTTGTCCAATTAGGGCCCATGCAGGGCCCATGTGGGCTGTGGCCCTACATGGGCAAACCCATGTGGGGCCATCGTGGAACCCGCGGACAAACCCATATGGGACCCATATAGTCTGCCCTCCTTGTCCCCACATGGGTCCCACCTAGGCATGCTGGCTGGGTTGTTTCTAGTTTCCTGCAGGATCAAACCCTAACTCCGGTTCTGCCGGTTCTGCCGGTTCTGCCGGTTCTGCTGGTTCTGTTTCAGATCGTTTACTTCACAGCAACCTTTCCCTACGTGGTTCTCATCATCCTGCTGGTGCGAGGCGTCACGCTGCCTGGAGCTTACAACGGCATCATGTACTACATCAAACCGGACTGGTCCAAACTGGGGGAGGCTCAGGTTGGTCCAGCCTGTGGGCGGCTTTGCCCTGAGCACTGCCTGTGAGGAACAACACATCTGCTTCCGTTAACCTAAACTTATATTTTTCCTCTTAAGTCGTTAGAGAAAAGCTTTGGATTTTGGAAAAGCAGATTTTCATGGAAATGAAAGCCACTCTTGTGCTACCAACTTATGGGACTGTTGGTTATGAAATTTCCTGATGAACAGTTCTTCCTGTTAAAGGGGAGTTCTTCCTATCCACTGTCACTACATGCATGCTTGGTTGAGGGATGGTTGTAAAGTTAATGACACAACATGAGCGCCCCCTGCTGGTTCAGGGAACGAATGACTCGATGCTCTGCTGGGTTTCCTCAGAAATGTTTCAATAATCTGGAACGAAGGAGTGGTTGGACTCAAATTATTTTTTGTGCCTTGACATGACTGTGGTTGTGAATTGGATTATGAAATAAAAGACCTCTCACCTGTGACCTTTGACCCCACAGGTGTGGATAGACGCCGGCACGCAGATCTTCTTCTCCTACGCCATCGGACTGGGAGCGCTGACCGCTCTAGGAAGCTACAACCGCTTCAACAACGACTGCTACAAGTAACCAGAACCGCAGGACTGGACCTTAGAACCAGACAGAACCAGATAGAACCGGACAGAACCTTAATGCAGTACCGGGGTCCGGGTCAGCTGGTGTTGATGGAACCGGACCGCAGCGTTGCTCAGAGGTTCTTATCTTCTTCTTCTGCTGCTCTGCAGGGACGCCTTCGTCCTGGCGCTCATCAACAGCGGCACCAGCTTTTTTTCTGGCTTCGTGGTTTTTTCCATCCTGGGCTTCATGGCGGCTGAGCAGGGAGTCGACGTCTCCCAGGTGGCTGAATCAGGTAAAACCTGCCCAGACTCCGCTCAGCCTCAATGCGGCCGAGTTTGGTGCCAACATTTACTCTGCAGCTCAACCAGCGGTGGCTACTTCCTGGTGGTAGTAACAACCTTTTCAGCAGGTCGATGTTCCTCTTAGGCCTCTAATGAGCATCATTTGATCCAGGTGTGCTAAACCAGAGAGAGAACTAAAACATGCAGGATTCTGGCCCTCCAGGACCCACTTTGGGGACCACTGCGTTAGATGGTTTGACGTGTTTTTTGACAGAGTTTACTGTAATCCAACGTGAGGCCGTTAGCTAACGTCAGAACCCTATGAAGCTGAAGTTAACTTCAGATTGATCCCATTCCACCAAATATTTTGATGTTTAGCATCTTTAATTAGCTCTAATTTAAAAACTTCGATGCTCAACATGGACTGAATTATTCTACATTGAAAGCAGAATATTTGAAACCTAGAGTGTGAAATTTTTTGTTGATATGTCAATGTTCAATAAAGAACCATATTAGTGCATTCACAAAGGAAATAAAGACTTCACAAATCACAAGCTTTAATGAGTTCAGCATAGCTTTAAAGGTTTTAAATATTGTGCTTTTACTCTACGGCGTGTCGATGAGTCCGTCCTGTCGGTGTTTCAGGTCCAGGTCTGGCCTTCATTGCGTATCCAAAGGCGGTCAGTCTGATGCCGGTGGCTCCGCTCTGGGCGGCGCTCTTCTTCTTCATGTTGCTGCTGCTTGGACTCGACAGTCAGGTGACCAAGAACACCTACAAACTCATCTCTCAAGTTTGATTAATTCTGCAGCGCTTAGTCATTTCACCATGACGTAAATTAAGTTTTAATCCAGTTTTATTCCATCAATTTGTCAGGAAGTGAAGATAAAACGACCTCTGGTTAAATCTGCCACATGTACTTGATGCAGATTAGGGTTAGAATAGGGTCAGAATAGGGTCAGATTAGGGTTAGGGTTTGTATTGTCCATTTTTACTGACTGAGGGTCTGGACTGGACGCCCCCACCTCATAACTACAGAAAATAAAACAATAAACAATAATAAACTGATAATATGGTTCGTCACCTGCTGACCATAATTATCCCAAATAATAATTTAATTTGGGATAATTATTTATTGTGAAACGAGGCTAACTGTTTTAATCAGTTAGTCTGTTCTTTTCAGGATGTGTTTTCAGATTGACTAATTTTTTACAATTTATTTAAGATAAACTTTACTTTGTATTTAACACACAGAAATATCCCCAAATGTGTAAAAACCTGATAATAAAAAAATGTAAATTTAAAGATTTTCAAACATTTTTGATTAATTATTTCTGTCTCCAGTCCTAAAACTGCAGAAAAAAATATTTTATAATTTTACCTTTTGAATTAAAGAACGAATCCGTGGTGGCCAGGAATCGTTTCTCAGCCTTCCTGTTCTGATGCGGTTGGATCATTGTGATGAAGGCGATGCCTGGTGATGCCTTCAGGGAGGCTCAGACCTTCCAGCTCTAATGTTTTGTGTTCCTGCAGTTTGTCGGGGTGGAGGGATTCGTCACGGGGATTCTGGACCTGTTTCCTGGGAAATATTACCACCGCTACAAACGTGAGATCGCCGTGGCGATCTGCTGTTTACTGTGCTTCATCATTGACCTCTCCATGGTGACGCAGGTCAGCACAGAAACTTTCACCTGCTCAGTTTTAGCTGCAGGAGTCCAAACGCTGGGGAAGGAGACTGTTAATATTTGGATATGTTTCTGCAGGGAGGAATGTACGTCTTCCAGTTGTTTGACTATTACTCAGCCAGTGGCATGACGCTGCTGTGGCAGTCGTTCTGGGAATGTATTGTAGTTGCCTGGGTCTACGGTATGTAACACACACACACACACACACACACACACACACACACACACACACACTATGGTGTTACATTGCAGGGTGCAGCTGAGTGATCCTTAAATAGGACATGAGATCAGATTTTAACTCCAAGTAAAGGTCAAAGTTCAGAGCCTTCAGTTTAAATTTGGAGATTTTGGGTCTTTTTGTCTTTCTGTCAAAAAAAATCATCTAGTAATTTTTATTTTTTTCTTTAAATTAACATTTGATAAATCAGACTGCTACTGAATGCGTTATTCTCATTTTTAAATTAAACACCTGCATGTGACCTGAAGCAGTGGGTGGGGTCAGAGGTCAGGTGGGGCTCCGGTGGTCCTGGCTGACTACAGACGTTTTGCATTTTGGAGTTGATGGACCGCCGTCCTGACAGAACCACAGACTTCTGGAGCTGAGCTCCTTAAGGAACCAAAAACATTCCTGCTGAGGAGGTTCTGACCGCAGAAATGTAGCTCAGCCGGACATTATAGTGAGAGCAGTTGTAATACTCTGTGATGGCAGCTAGGAGGCACCTGTTGCTAGCCCAGGCTGAGACAGGTGTGTGAACCAGGTGTGTGGTTGTGTCCCAGCTGATGGTGTCTCTGCAGGTGCGGACCGGTTCATGGATGACGTGGCCCGTATGATCGGCTACCGGCCGTTCCCCTGGATGAAGTGGTGCTGGTCGTTCATCACGCCGTGCGTCTGCATGGTGAGACCCACAGCTTCCTGTCCGTCACCAAATATGGCTCCAGTAACACGACTCCTCTGCCACATTAGGGCATCTTCCTGTTCCACCTGGTTAACTACAAGCCGCTGACCTACAACACGGTGTACGTGTACCCGTGGTGGGGCGAGGTGATCGGCTGGTGCCTGGCTCTGTCCTCCATGCTCTGCATCCCCGTCAGCCTCCTCTACAAGTTCTTCAGAGCCAAAGGAACCATCAAAGAGGTCAGTCAGGATGGAGAAGAACCAAGAAAACACGAGAACTCTTCCGTTACAGAAGATAGCATCTCAAACTTGGTGGTTTATTAAATGCACATGAGACAAATATGTTCATTTGTTACAGCAAAACCTGTAACCCATCATTTTCAGTAACAGCAGGGGGCGATAGTGTGCAAGTAAGGTCAGCAAGAAGAAGAGTATTTAAGTAAACTGTGTAAATACTGATACAGCTGGGATTGTAAACTTCACGCCTCGTTAATTACAGTCGCATTGACGGAGAAAATATAATATATATTTCTTTATATTCAAGATGGGA